ACATCTCCCAAACCATTTACAGTATGCTTCTGTACTTCAATGCTGCACCTTGGCCTGCACTAGCAACTATCATTATAACGCGCTTCAAAGACACTGCATGCTCAGGTACACACAACTAGCTCACGGAGTCGCCCATGTTGCCTCTCCAGGCCACAGGCTCGCACAGTACTCGGTCACTCTGAACCTATGTGGATACTCATAGCTTCCTTGCCTGCTTTGCCTTTTAGCCAGAATCACTGAAATACTACCTTACTGTGCCATTCAGTGTAGACACAAAGCCAAGAAGCATATTATGGTTGTCAGCAGTCCACAGTCAAGGTATAGAGTCTTTTTGGTCAGGAGTTCTGAACCCAGTAAATTAAGGCCAGCTAACTATACCTGTCCAGGGACTTGGAAATGGTCAGTCAGTTGCACAGGGTCATCAGAGTCAGGATGTTCTCCACATAAGGGGTAAAGAAATGAATGTCAGACAGTCTATCACCTGCCTTGACCTCTTCCACCCTATCATGAGCTATTTTCTTCTTGGAATGGAACTGGGGAAGCTGGATGTAGCAGACAGACCAAATGTCAGGAATCTAGCAGGAAAAATCTGGCCTAAAAGTCTGGGTGTACAACTGCCTTTGAAACGTGGCGCAGATGCCAGATTGCTGGTCAATCCCGGGATATCCTGGCAGTGGCGACCTATTCCGGGAACCACAAGCAGTAGGGTAGAGCAAGAATTGCACGAGGCGCTTCTTACGAGCAGGGTCAGTAACTAAAAAGGCAAGTTTGCTTAGATTTACTGAGGGACTTTGCGTGGCCTTGTATAGAGAAAAATTCTATGAAACTTGACAAAACTGACATTTCGCCAAAACGATTTAGATTCAACACAATGCCCAATAATCAAATAGTGTGCTGTTTTACGATATCAGGAATGCTTTACCCTGCATCGCCACAAGTTGTTAATCTGCTATTTAAAATAGCTCATCTGGTTAAGACCAGAATATCTATCAGATATAGACTACTTTTCAACCACCTCTTTGGACAAGTTATGACACTGCTCCAGGGCGAGTGGGACTTGAACACAAACATTCTGTTTAGTGATAGGGACACTATAACTGTGCCACAAGAGCCTTATCATCTGGGAATAAATAACTTCAATTTGAGAACAATCAATTTAATGGCTTGTTTGAAGGGTATTTAAGTATTTGGTATTTCAGTAAATTCTCCAGATGAAAAAAAAAAATCAAACTGCCACTGATCTTTCTCCGCCACATATTCTAGATTTTTGAATGTGCCAAATCCTATTATAATATCTATGCAGCTAGGTGTAAACAGCAAAGTTATTACCTCTTCCTTGATCTGTTTTTTTTTCCCCAAATATTCTCCGCATATTCTAAGATCTCTAAATCAATGAGGAAATCCCGGAATACATTTATCTTTAAATCGTTCAGTCAGACATGGTGCTTGTGAGCTATGTTCTTTACAGAAGGAAATCTGCCATCCTTATGGGTCTGGACTAAATGTGACTTCAGACTCTCAGCAACGCAGTTGATTATTAACTGCTCTCTGGCCAATTAGGAATGGGAGATAAATGCTGGCCTAGCCAGAGATGTCCACATTCCATGAACAAATAAAACAAACTTGTTCATAATATTTACAACAGTCAATCACGTGTGACCAAAAGGGGCAAAATAAATAGGTCAGAGGCTAGAAATCCTGCAGCAAGTAAATCACCTCCTGACCCCCTAAAGCCTGTCAACCATCTACAAGGCACAAGTCAGAAGTGTGGTGGAAAACTCCCCACCTACCTGGTTGAGTGCAGCTTCAACAAAACGCAAGAATCTCGACACCATCCACAACAAAGCAGCCCGCTTGACTGGGATCACATTCAACCATCCATCACCCACACACAGTAGCAACAGTGTGTACTATCTAAAAGATGCAATGCAGAAATTCTCCAAAGATCCTGAGATGGCACCTTCTAAGCCCACGACCACTTCCATCTAGAAGCACAAGGGCAGCAGATACATGGGAACACTTGTTCCCTTCCAAACTATTTACCATCCTTACTTGGAAATATGTCATTGTTCCTTCACTATCACTGGGTCAAAATCCTGAATTCCTTCTTGTGCATCTACCTACTGCACAGGGTCTGCAGTGGAACAAGAAGGAAGCTCACCACCACCTTCTCAAGGGCAACTAGGGATGGACAATAAATGCTGGGCAGCCAGGAATACAGGCATTTCATGAGTAAATTAGAAAGATAACAGGAATACATTTTAGGAACACAGAAATAGGTGCACAAGTAGGCTTTGACGAGTAGATCTTTTTAATCATCCTGTTCAGATACACCTACAGAACAGATGGTACTTAAACCCAGGACTCTTGGTTCAAAGAAGATAGGGACACCATGGAGTTTTTTATGGTACGTGGTAAAGAGATAACCAAGCAACAAAGCAGGCATTAACTATAAGATAACAAATTAACTCTGTCTCAATATACGTTGATCTAAAACAGCCTGCTCCCCAATTAGTTTCTTAACATTGGGTTGGAAGGTCATTAACCCAATACTGTTTCTTTATTCCCAATTATTCATCAGTTACTTTAATTTGTACACACCCACACACAAACAATCTGACTCAGTTACTTGCCAATCAGCTCAACCTACAATCTCTAGCCTGGAATTCAGAGGATTACAATAGTACCATGTTAACAAAAAGGGCTGGAGGGACCTGAATGTGATGACCAGCAAGGGAGCTGCTACTCTGATTGGCAGTTGAGACAAATAATCAAAATCTGGCTTTAATGTTCTACCAATGAAACACGTTCCAAAGCCATTACTTTTACAAAAATACATGAACATCACAGAATTCATCCATTAGAAGAATTATTTTAGTTACTGAGAAATACTACACTGTCGGTTGGCTGTTTGACTGTTCGGCCTAAAGTCTCTCTCCAGAATCGGAAATATTTCCCACTTGCCCAATGTGATATGAGCGAGTGGGGGATATTCAATCATACTCCTGGTTTGTGCCTTGTAATGGCCTTGGGGAAAGAGGAGGTGAGTTATTCGCCTCAAAATTCCTAGCTTTGCACCCAATCGTGCAGTCAGTTTTTTTACGCCTGGTCCAGTTCAGTTTTTGATCAATGGTAGTCCCCTGGATGTTGACAGTGAGGGATTCAATGATAGTATTCTCATTGAATGTCATCGGATTGAATTTTCATTTGTCACCGATCATTGCCTATTCACCTGTTTAGCGCACACGTTGCTGGTTACTAATCAGTCTGGGCCTGAATGTTGTCCAGGTCTTGCTGCATATGGACATGGAGTATCTCAGTATCTGAGGAATTGCAAATGGTGCTAAACATTGCGCAATCATCAGAAAATCTCTTCATTTCTGACCTTACGATGGAGACAAGATCATTGATTAAGCATCAGAAGAGGATTGGGCCTAGGATACATCTTGAGGAACTGCTGCAGTGACGTCCTTGTGGCTGAGATGATGAACCTTCAACAACCACAACCATTTTCCCTTGTGCTAGGTATGACTCCAATCAGCAGAGAGTTATCCTCAGATTCCTACTGACTCCTGTTTTGCTTGAATTCCATGAACATACAGAGTCAAATGCTGGCTTGATTTCAAGAACAGTCATCTTATCTCAACTCTGGAATTCAGCTCTTTTGTCCATGTTTGGATAAAGGCTGTAATGAGGTCAAGGGCTGAGTGGCCCTGACAAAACCCAATGGAACATCAAAGAGTTGGTTACCGCGCTAAACAAGTGCTGCTTGACAACACTGTTGATGACTTCTTTCATGACTCTGATGATTGACAACAGATTGATAGGGTGGTAATTGGCCAGGTTAGATTTGTCCTGCTTTCTCTTATCAGAACATACCTAAGCAGTTTCAAGACTAATGCTCTGGGGACATGGGCTCAAATCTTGCCATGGTAGATGGTGAAATTTGAATCCAATGAAAATCCGGAATTGAAAGCTGGTCTAACAGCAACTATGTAACCAATATAGATTGTCATAAATACCCATGTGGTTCACTAAGTCCTTTATGGAAGGAAATCTGCCATCCTTACTTAGTCTGGCCCACATGTGGCTCTCTACTCTTAACAATGTGGATGATTCTTAACTGCCTTCTGAAATGGCCTAGCAAACCACTTAGTTCAAGAGCAATTAGGTATAGGCAACAACTGCTGGCCCAGTAAGCCACACGCACATCCTATACAATAAAAAAAAATTAAATGAGTATAGCTACTTCAAAGGAGTTGAGGCACCAGAGGAACATAGAATACAGAACAGTACAGTATACGAACAGGCCCTTTGGCCCACCTTGACTGTGCTGACCATGATGCCATTTTACACTTAACAATGTCATGAATACATCATTGTAAATTCAGCCCTGTGTCAAGTCTAACACCAAGTTTGCTATAATCCAATAGTGACGAAAATGAAAAAAAGTAGTCACAGAAATGCAGCAGTCAAGATATTGCTAGATAAAATGCCCTAGAATTTACTGTTCAATTTTCCAATCTGGTATGATGTTAACCAAATGAAGGATTATAAAAATAACACGAGATTAGCACGCAAGTGAAGTTGCATTTAAGGAGAATACCCCTCCGAACTGAAATACACACTTCCAACCTCTGACATCAGGTAAAAGATACAGAAGCTTGAACACAAATACCAACAGGTTCAAGAACAGCTTTTCCCTGCTGTCACTAGACTGCCGAATATACCTCTCTAATTTCAAATCTAATGCGGATCTTGCTTTTGTGCACCTCCTGTGCAGCCGTAACCATGTAGGTCTCTCTGTCTAACGCTACGTCCTTACATGTTATGATCTGGCTGTACTGTGTGCAAAACAAAACAAAACTTTTCACTGTACTCCAGTATATGTGACAACAAATCAAATCGAAGTGAATTCACTTTGTCCTGTAAATAAACATAATTATAAATATTTACAGCTTAAAATGATATTCACTGCAGTCAATTCCATAATTCCATACCTGGGCCCTTTTCAAGGAAGACAATCTTAGACTCCGGAAGAAAGTTGAAGCCGTTAACGATCATTTCTTCTCCACCACTGACCGAGCACGAATTGGTACTGTACTTTTCAATCTGAGGAAGTTCCTGAGCCGATCGCTGGGCTGTATTAATCAAACTGGGATTACCAAAAAGACTTAACAAATAACATATGCTGTATCATCAATTTCATGCAATGTGTTAAGGGTCATATAAATGGTCAACAAATTATAGTACACAAGAATAAAGTGCACAACCTTGCATATATTACAAAACCAAATTTTAAAAACTGCGTATGTGCAAATATACTTCAGTTCTATTCTTCCCCAATTAAAGGATGTGTCTGCACGGTCCAAACATGAACTCTATTCCAGCATTCTGTTGTGTAATTTAGGGCAAATTCAGTATCAACAGAGCATTTAATGGCTACTATCAAATGCAGTTAAAAAGGACTTAAGAAAGGTCTCCTTTTGAATTTTTATGGTGTTGAGATAATAGGACAGTTATGAAAGTGTAAAATGTTCAAATAGACAATTTGACTCAAAGTTTAACCAATATGTTCATTTTTAAACTAAAAATCTAAAGCATTGAAAAATCAGAGTGCTTAGGAAATATTTAGCGATTAATTCATTTTGTATTATTAAATAATACATTATTTCTGATGCAAGATTGGTCACATGAAAAGAAAAGCATTTTACACCTGAAATATTTAATTATTGAGGCAATAAGAAGCTTGTGTCCATACATTATTGAATAGTGGCAAAGCATAAAAGGTGCCTCTGCTAGAGGTCTAGACAGTGTGAAGAATAAACAATTTTCAAAGCAAGTTAGCAAAAATATCTGACATCGTATGATACCAAGATCTGCAGATGCTGACATCGTAAACAGCGCCCAAGTATATTAACTCAAAATATCTCTGGTTGAATCTACCCCTGCCTCCATGTGCCACATGAAGAATTCCGTACACAAAGATTCTTGAGTAAGGTACAAGTTGAGAACATTTCCCTGTTTCCCTTACACTTTCCTCCCGTAAGCCGATGACCAGGACTAACTATGATTTTAGAAGTTGGTTTTGTCACTTTTCATGTTTCCAGACGTTAGTGAAATTCATGAAAATAGATGGATGGAGCAAAGAGGAAGTTGAACTGAAATGAAAGATGCATCAAATGTTATTATAGTTATTTTCTAAATCAACCTGTTCAGAGATGTTACTACTCAAATCTGGAGCAGATGGGACTCGTGCCTGGGCCCTCTGGCCAAGATCTACAGATGGTACCACTGCACCACATGAGCCCTTCCCTCAAATTTTATGAAAGATATTTTAATTTAACTTATTTAGATGTGGTATGACTCACTTCTGGGACAGGTGGGACCTGGCTCAGAGGTAGGAACACGACTACTGTACCACAAGAGCCCCTTGTACATGAATAAAATCAACATGTAGGTATTTTTAAAATCAACCTACTGCAGAAGACCACTGGAGCAGATGGGTATCAAACTTGGACATTCTGTCCCAGAGGTAGGGACGCCATCACTACATAAGAATTCTTCCATCAAATTTTACTATCAGCTGATCGCCTACAAGCTAATCATAAAAAACTGACAACGACTGGTGGGAGGCACAAGATCTAGACATCTGTACCTGCCAAATAAAACAGGTCACCAATGTAGCAGTATCTGTGGGAAAATTTGGAAGCATGAAGAAAAACAAAATAGGAAAAAAAGTTTAATGAATGTGAATTTAATACTAACAGCATTCAACAGGAATGGAAGCTGCTTGCAGTGAGACAACTTTTCCATTGGGCTGTGGGATATGCACGCGGAAAACAAGGCGAACTCTTGTATTTTTTCTTCCAATGTCAGTTTCACCCTTGCGAAGTTCAATATCAGAGTTGCGTAGTTTCAAAATTCCTGCACAGTCAATGCTATAAAAAAAACAGATCTGTAAGAAATATGATTACATGAATCTAAATACGATCACTTTAAAGTGTTTTACATTTTAAGTAAAATTTGAGATTCCTTATCAAAGCAAAAACAAAATATCCAAAATTAAACAAGTTAACACTAAGCCACACTAATTAGTTTGGTCAATGAGTAATTTAAACCAGAGCACTAATTTTCACACATTTAGTCAGGGATATTGAAAAGACTACTTGGCAGTCATGTTATCTTCATTTTTTTGCTCAGTTTAGTGATATGAATTTTTAAACATGAACTCAAAGATACTTGCTCCTCAATTTAAAAAACTCATGGGAGCCCTGCGAATTATAATTTCTGAAGGGAATATTTGCTCAGGTGCTAATGTACATTGAGGCTAATTCAAAGACTAACAGCTCATGTTAGTTTGGTTTCAAATTAGTGTGTTGCTTCAGCCTTCCCTCTATTCACAGGGTTAAATACACATACTCTAACCTGTCAGTTAGATTTTATACTTTTTTTTTTTTTAAAATTACTACTGCATAAGCAGTACTACTACAGTATGAATTAGAAGCATCAGGCCATCTCCCAGAAACTGGCTTCCAGTCATCAATCACATCAGGATAAAATAAAACTGTTGACTTTGGTCACAAAACCCTTACTTCCTACACCCAGTCAAATAGTCAACTGATCAACATTTTTGTTCTGAAGCCAAGCAATCAAATTTTACAGATTCTACCTTAAAATTAGCAATTAGTTAAGGCAATACTATGACCGATATAAACAGTGAACCATGCCCCATTTTGAAGTGACAGTAACATATTCACATTCTCAATATTAAATCACGCAATTATTTTCTGTTTGAGTAAATAAGTTGTAGTTAGCATCAGTTGCAGCATTATCCAAATTCCATTAAAGAAATAAAGGGCAGACTTTCTTTGTTTGACGGGTCTCTTGCACACTCCTGAAGCACCAAGACACTTGCGCTTGCTCCTGGACAGGCAGTCTATGAAATCTTGGCCACTTTAGTGAACATTGGCAGGTCTCCCATCTGACTGAGGACCCTGGGACACAATGTCCTAGATATCTGGAACTGCTGACGAGGGTCCTTGGAGGAAGCTGTGGCTGCTGTTGATACAAACAGTGGACACACAGGATGGAGAAGAACCAGGATCAAAGGTACAATTGTTGGGTAGCGGGGGCAAAATAAACAAGGCAGTCCATGGAGATTGGAAGCAAGGTCAAGGAGATGGCTATCAACAGCTAACCTCCCACCCTTTGTTCAGATTAGTGCAAATCAAGAGACATAAAATCCCTCTTTCTCCCCAAACAGACATAGACCCTTAAGTGGTATTTAATTTACACTTAAGGATTTTAAATGGAGGTGAGACAGGAAGATCACCCTTGAGCAGAGACATAGAACATAGAGCAGCACAGCACAGGAACAGGCCCTTTGGCCCATGATGTTGTGTCGAACATGACACCAAATTAAACTAATCTTTTCTGCCTGCCCTTGGTCCATATCCCTTCATTCTTGCACATTCATGTGCTTAGCTGGAAGCCTCTGAAAAACGCCTACTGTATCTGCCACCACCAGCACCCTTGGCAGTGCATTCCAAGCACCAAACACCGTAAAAAATTTGCCCCTCATATCTCCTTTGAACTTTCCCCCTCGCACCTTAAATGCATGCCCCCAGTATTAGACATTTCAACTCTGGGAAGAAGATTCTGACTGTCAACCCAATCTACACATCTCATAATTTTATAGACTTCTATCAAGTCTCTCCTCAGCCTTCACCTCTCCAGAGAAAACAAGTTTTTCTGGCCTCTCCTTATAGCTCATACCCTCTAATAACGGCAGCATCCTGGTAAACCTCTTCTGCACCCTCTCCAAAGCCTCCACATCCTTACTGTAGTGTGATGATCAGAATTGAATGCAATACTCTAAGTGCAGCCTAATCAAAATCTTATAAAGCCACAACATGACATCCTGATTCTTGTATTCAATGCCCCAACCAATAAAAGCAAGCATGCCATAAGCCTTCTTTACCACCCTATCTACTTGTGATCATTTTCAGGGAGCTGTGGACTGAAACTCCAAGATCTTTCTGTACATCAATGCTGTTCAGGGTCCTGTCATTAACGGTATACTTTTCCTTAACAAGTCACCGTGGATCCTAGGCATTTTAATGCCCTGGATGAGCCGACCATGAGGGACCTTGTCGAATGCCATACTAAAATCCACGCAGACAACATCCACTGCTTTTCCCTCAGCAATACCTTTGTCAACTCCTCGAAAAATCCAATCAAATTAGTAAAATATGACCTGTTCCGCATGAAGCCAAGCTGACTATACCTAATTAGGCTATACTTTTACAAATGTGTGCAAATCCTATTCCTAAGAATTCTCTCCAATAGCTTCCCCACCACCAATGTGAGACTCACTGGTCTAAAGTTTCCTGAATTATCCCTATTTCCCTTCTTGAACAGCAATTAGCTAACTGCCAGTCCTCTGGGACCTTTCCAGTGGATAGCAAGGATACAGAGATCTTGGTCAAGGTCCCAGCAATCTCCTCTCTTGCCTCTCAATAACCTGGGGTAGATACCATTGGCCCTGGAAACCCAACATCACTTGTTTCTTGATCACAAAATGCCCTACACAAAAACACATTGGTCATCAGTTCCAATGACAACTCACCAAATTTTCCAGGTCTCCTGCCTCTTTCCTTGCTCCCTCTTGGCCTAGAAAATTCCACCCCAAGACTTTTTTGATGACAGCCAAGGTAGTGAATGAATGCTTTGTGCATCCCTTCATAAATCGGAAAGATTCCAATGTTACTATGAAGAGGGCAGGGAAGTGCAGGTAAGGGCTACTTGGGCAGAAAAGCATTGGGTGACCACCAGGAAGACTAGCAAGTGTGGGCAGGCAGTGCAGAAGTCGCCTGTGGCTATTTCCCTCTCAAACAGATACACTGTTTTGGACACTGTTGCAGAGTGATGCCCTGTCAGGGGAAAGTAGCAGCAGCCGCCAAGTTTATGGCACCCTGGTTGGCTCTGCTGCACAGCAGGAGAGAAAAAACTGGGCAAGATTTCAGTGATATGGACTCAACTGGAAGGCGAGCTGACGGACGGTTCGGTCGCAGCAAATGAGACTCTCGACGGTATGTTGCCTCCCATGTGCCAGGGTTCCAGGGTATAGTAGTTGAGGGGGTGCAGGAGTAAATGAGGTTATTGTGCACTGCACTATTGGTAAGTAAAACCATCACTGCAGTAACGAGGGAGGATGTCGAAGGTTCTTCAAATGAGGTCACCTGGGTGGAGCTTACAAATAAAAAAGGGACGATTACCTTGTTGGGTTTATGCTACAGGTCTCCCAATCGCCAGAGGGAAGTAGATGAGCAGATATGTAGGCAAATCACAGAAAGATACAAGAGAAACAGGATTATAGTTGTATGGGACGTCAACTTTCCTAACACTAACTGGGACTGCCGTAGTGTGAAAGGATCAGATGGGGTAGAATTTTCAAAGTGCATTCAGGAGAGCTTGCCATGCCTGTACATAGATAGCCTTACTTGAGATTGGGCAGTGCTAGACCTAATTCTAGACAATGAAGCTGGTCAAGTAGTTGAAGTTTCAGTGGATGACCATTTTGGGGATAGTGGCCATAAGATAAGTTTCAAATTCATATAATGCGAAGATGCTGGCGTTGGACTGGGGTGGACAAAGTCAGAAATCAAACAACACCAGGTTATAGTCCAACAGGTTTCTTTAAAAACACAAGCTTTCGTAACGCTGCTCCTTCGTCAGGTAAAGTTGAAGGAGGCGCACAGGCAAAGAATACATATGCAGAGATTTATAATTATAATTATCTTGCTATTATATCTCTTGGTGGGACAGAACACTCAACAACACCCTTCCTGAATTCTGAGGAAGGGTCACTTGGGCAGAAACATTACCTCTGATTTCTCTCCACAGACGCTGCCAGACCTGTTGAGCTTGTCCAGCAATTTGCTTTTATTTCTGATTTGTAGCATCCACAGTTTTTTCAGTTTTTAATTACAGACTAGTTCGTTTTACATCAGTGGTAGTGGAATTACTGGAATAATTCTGAAGGACTGGATTAATCAATACTTGGAATGGCAGGGGTTGATCAGGAATAGTCAGCATGTGTTCGTTAGAGGGAAATCCTGTCTGGTTAATTTAATTGAGTTTTTGAAAAGATGACTGAATAAATTGATGAAGCTGGTGCAGTTGATAGGGTTTACATGCAAGGCCTTTAACAAGCTCCCACATGGAAGGCTGGTCTGAAAGGTAAGAGCCCATGGGATCCAAACAAGGTGAAGTTGGGTCCATTTAGGAGGCAAAGAGTGATGGTGGTGTGTTGTTTTTGTAATTGGAAGCCTGTGACCAGCGGTACACCACAGAGTTCAGTGCTGGGACCCTTGCTGTTAGTTATGCGCATTAAGGACTTGAATGTGAATGCAGAAGGTATAATTAGTAAGTTTGGAGACAACACAAGAATTGGTGGGGATAGTTGACACTGAGGAGACCTCTGGTTTAAGTCCGATGCTGTTGCAGAGATCCTAAATTGATGACAGCAATAGCAGATGGAATTTAATTCCAATAAGTCCAAGTTGATGCATTTTGGGAGGTCTAATAAGGGAAGGACATACGCAATGAATGGTCGGTCCCTAGTGAGTACTGAGGAACAAAGGGACCTGGGCGTATAAGTCCATAGATCCCTGAAGATGTCGGCACAGGTAGACAGAATGGTGAAGGCGGCATATGGGATTCTTGCCTTCGTTAGCCGGGGTGTACTTTATAGGAGCAAGGAAGTCTTATTACAACTTTATAAAAGATCGGTTGGGCCACATATGGAATACTGTGTGCAGGTCTTGTCGGTACACTATCGGAAGGTCGTAATTACGCTGGAGAGGGTGCAGAAGAGATTTCCCAGAATGTTGCCCAGGATGAAAAGTCTCAGTTTTGAGGAGAATAGGCTGGGGTT